TGTGGAATCTTTCATTTAAAAAGGGGGGGAGGAGGGGTTTATGTAAAGCAAAGCATTGAAAAAAAACCCGAAATGATGAACGAAGCAAAGTGCCGACTACACCGAGCATCTTCTTGTTTCCTCTGATCGTAAAAAAAAGAGAGAGAGCGTGAGAGAGAGAGAGTGGGAGAGAGTGAATTAAAGAGAGAGCGAGAGAGAGTGAGAGAGAGTGAATTAAAGAGAGAGCGAGAGAGAGTGAGAGAGACTTTTTGACTTCTAAAATAACTTTTATTGCCGCCAGCAGCAATAGTACTGGAGGCAATCCCGATACGAAATACAGCCCTCTGGTACAGAGAGGGGCTTTTCCGGCTCCCCAGCGTTCGAAGAAGACGCGCACATCACCGGTATGTGTGTGGTACGCGTGCTCCAGCCGGAGCCGCGCCTTGAGCAGGCCCCTGAACACTGGAAGCACAGAGCAGCTGTCAGTGTCACCTTCCAGCATCTTTTTTCTCGCCTGAGCGCAGGCGAAGTTGGCGAGGTCATGGCACTTGTTAGCCAGGTAAGGCCCCACCCCATATACGTAGCTGCTGTTGTAGAAGGGTACCCCCAGTTTCCTGAAGATGTTCCCCAAAAGGCGGAATATTGCTTTGAGCCGCTGGCGGCGTAAGTACCGGTGGGGCAGATCCTCCCTGGCACCACAGGAAATGCACAAGTCTGTTACCCCTGGCGAGATTCGGCTGAGCCACACGGCCGATGGCAACGTGCAGTGTGCCAATCTCCACTGGAGGTCACCGCAGCGTTTGGCTACAGGGGAGACTTGTACATTTTCTTCCACTGGGGGGCGGCCGCAATGAGGGGAGAGAAATGGTCTCTCCATTTTCTGTCCGGTAGGTTGGCCAGGTCCCGGGAATGCAGCGCCTTGACACAGCCACATGTAGAGCGCCTTGACACAGCCACATGTAGAGCGCCTTGACACAGCACGTGTAGAGTGCCTTGACGCAGCACGTGTAGAGCGCCTTGACGCAGCACGTGTAGAGCGCCTTGACACAGCCACGTGTAGAGCGCCTTGACACAGCACGTGTAGAGCGACTTGACACAGCACGTGTAGAGCGCCTTGACACAGCACGTGTAGAGCGCCTTGACACAGCACGTGTAGAGCGCCTTGACACAGCACGTGTAGAGCGCCTTGACACAGCACGTGTAGAGCGCTGTGTTTGGGGCACTCTTCAGGGGCACGTTCCTGCAGCCTCGGAGCTTCAGTAGCTTGCCGGAGTCGCTGTGGCTGGGGGGCTGCGCGCAGGAGAAGCACAACTCCGGGAAGGAGGAGAAGGGGGGGGAGGGCCACCACCATCCCCCGGTGCCTCCAGCTTCAGGCGCAGCTCCTTCATGGCGCGGAGCGACGTCCCGCAGCAGCTTCTCCCTGGCGAGCGTGGAGTGGAGTCCTGCGATGCTGGCGATCTCAGCTGCGGTCTTCCACTTGGGCTGGTGGGCCTGCACGAGGTGGAAGACTGTCCGCAGCCCTGCTGATGTGAGGCGTAGAGGCAGGGTCCTCTCTCCTCTGATCCCCTGGAAGAGGGCGTTGCAGAACAAGGGCTCGTTCAGGAACTTTGCGAGGTTGTAGTACGCACACGTTCTGCTCCACTCGAAGCTCCACCACTCGTCCAAAAGGCTCCGGTGATAGCAGCCTCGTGTAGTCGACCAGGCTCAGGTCCATCAGGACGAGCTCCTTTCCGTACCCCAGGCACCCCCCTGCATTCCTCAGCAGGGCGAGGGCCGGCGACTTCCAGGGTAGCTCCTCCCGGTCGTACAGCAGCCGCCTGTCGGCCACGAGCCTGAAGCTCATGACCCTGGCGGCGACGTCCACCAGGCCCTGGCCGCCCTTGCCCACCAGCAGGCAGAGAACGTCCGGCCTGAGCCAGTGCTTCCCGTGCCAGACGAAGTGCGCGAGTGAGCGGTTGGTGAGTAGCCGAGCAGGAGGCTGGAGGGCCTTGGTCTTGTGCCACAGCACGGATGCTGCCAGGGTGTTAGCGACGAGCACTCGGCCCCTAAAGGACATCTGCGGAGCGAGGCTTGTCCATGTCAGTCATTTTGCCTTGATTGTGACGGCCAGCTCGGTCCAGTTGTTAACGTGGAGAGAGCGAGCGAGAGAGAGGGTGGACCATGAGCATCCGTCTGCTGCCAGTAGAGGCGTGAGGACTTACAGCTGCTGCGTGCATGTGCGTGCGTGTGCGTTGGCGCTCCGTAATTCCCAGCTGAGTAATTTTGCGGTGTGATTTCCAAAGATTATTTGGCAAATTCGGACGTGCCGGCACGCCGGCATGTCGTGGCCGATGCTCTTCAGAGGGACGTCGGAGGGATGTCTCACGTTTTCCTCGTGAAGCAGATGGCACGCAGCAGCAGTAGCAGCAGCAGCAGTAGTAGCATCAGCAGTAGCAGCAGCAGCAGTAGCAGCAGCAGCAGCAGTAGTAGCAACAGCAGTAGCAGCAGCAGCAGTAGTAGCAGCAGCAGCAGTAGCAGCAGCAGCAGTAGCAGCAGTAGCAGTAGCAGCAGCAGCAGTAGCAGCAGCAGCAGCAGTAGCAGCAGTAGCAGCAGTAGCAGCAGCAGTAGCAGCAGTAGCAGCAGTAGCAGCAGCAGCAGTAGCAGCAGCAGTAGCAGCAGCAGTAGCAGCAGCAGCAGTGAATAGTATCCCCCTCGTTGCACGCGACCGCAGTATTGTCCAGGGCCGGCCACCCGGAAGCCGAACCGTCGCTCGTTTGGAATGAGCCGCGAAACGCTCCACACCCCCACGTCCCCACCTCTCCCCCCCCCACGTCCCCCCCCCACCTCCCCCACTTATGCCGCAGTGGCGCCATCAGGGCGGCAATTGCAGGGGGCAGAGGCTACGATTCTGTGGGGGCATCCATGGCATCCGATGGAATTTGCGGTGAACCTGACCCCCCCTCCCACGTCCCCCCCCACTCCCACGTATCCCCCCCCCCCACCACCAACACCGTCTCCTTGAGATTTTTGTGGGAACAAAAAAAAAAGTGCCCGTCAGTTTCACCGCGGCCCTGGCTGGTGCCTGCCTCGTGGTGCCTGCAGCGTCAATGCTCGCACGAGTCACAGAAGCAAGGCCCGAGTGAAATGCATGTGCAGTGACATGGAATGGAGCATAGCGCGGGAAGAGATTTGCTGTTGCAGCAGCCCTGCCTGTCAGCAGGTCACGTGATAAGCAGAGAGGGGGGTGTAGGGCAAAGGATGATGGAGGGAGGGGCAAGTGAGGTGAGTTTCTGGAACTCGCGAGTAAGTTCCAGAAGCGGGTCGTGGCCAGGGGGCGGAGCGAGGCCACGCCGGGAGGATAAAAGGAGAGCCCCGAGTGAAAGTTCGGGGCTGTCGCTTGGAGTGGGGTCCCGTTGGCTGCGTTGTGGGTCAGGTAGTCTGTTGGCTGTCCTGACTGAAAGTTTAGTTACCCCTGTAACCTGTACAGGCTATACTAAGTAGAGTGCCTCCTACTCTTAGGTTTTTTCGATAAAGTCACGTAGGTAAATAAATAATAAAAGATAAATAATACAAATAATAGAAGAAATAATAGAAATAAAATAAAAAATCACGACGTTTCGGAGGCAACACAAGCTTCCGTCTTCAGGTGGAACCGTCACAGCACGATTGCTGTATCAAGTAGAGAGAAATCCCAAGAAACCCGACCTTGTATATATACTGGTTGAGGGGGGGAGGAGCCCCCCCTTATCTTTTATTATTTTTTTACCCACGTGACTTTACCGAAAAAACCTAAGAGTATGAATCCTTGCAGTCACGAAAGCTTCAAATCTAGAATTTCCTCCTACTCCTAGTGTCTCTGAGTATATCGTCACCACACATACATAAGGTGGGTTGGGGGGGTGGAGTGGTGGTGGGTGGGTGGGTGGGGGGGCGAAGGAGTTTCAGTGAATACTCGTGAATGTTTACACAGTTGCGTGGCGCGGTGTTCCGCAATTCCTTTTGGACGTCACAAAGTGGGTGGGTGACGGAAATAAATCGACGATAAAATCTCACCCCACACCTTCCAAACCCCCCCCCCCCAAAAAAAACATCTAAATTATTTTTCGTTTCCTTTCTTCTTTAACGTTGAGTCGACGTAATTATTACCGTAATGGTTGCGTTGTCACCTTCTTGGTTCTTTCGGTAAAGTCACGTAGAAGGGAAATAATAAAATAATAAAAATAAAACATAATAAAATAATTCTCACGACGTTTCGGCCACAACGCAAGCAGCCATCCTCAGGTGAAGACCAGGTCTGTCGGGGAGACAGCGTCTGAATTGCGTTGTCGTTTATACGCGGAGCGTGAGGATGCCCGTTACGATTTGTCACCCAGCCCCTATTTTGTAATCTCCCTCTTTGCCTCGCTCCGTCTCTCGCTCCGTCTCTCTTGAGTGTTGCGTGTCGTTTGTGTCTGTGTCGTGTGTCGTGTGTGTGCTGTGTGTGTGTGTCGTTGCGTGTTGTGTGCTGTGTGTGTATGTGTGTCGTAGCTGTGTGCGTGTGTCTGTGTTGTGTCTTTGTTGTGGGGAGCGGTGGTGTAGCGGTTAGCGCTATGCTGCGCTACAAACCTGGCTAGCCGGGTTCGATTCCCGCTCACGGCCAACACCTGTGACTATTATCTGAACCGGTTCTGCGGCTCTCCTAGGTCCACTCAGCCTAAAATTAGTACCTGGTGTGGTGTGTAAACATCGCCACTGGGGAGACAAAGGCGGCCGGGCGTGGTGCTGTTGAGGCTACACGGGAGATCTTTGTCTATCCATCAGTCCATCAGTCTCTGTGTCTCTACCCGTCTGTCCGTCCATCCACCCGTGTGTCCGCGTGTGTCCACCCGTGTGTCCGCATGTGTCCACCCGTGTGTCCGCGTGTGTCCACCCCTCGCTCCATCTGCCTGTCTCTCGCAGTGCGCCCGGTCTGTCTGTTGGTGTGTCCGTGTGTCTCACCGCGCGTGTCCGTGTGTCTCACTGCGCGTGTCCGTGTGTCTCTCCGCGTTGTCTCGTGTGAGCAGCATGCACGGCCCCACGGGACAGTGTCCGCACCCCCGGGTCCTGTCCAACCTCGTGTCCGTGTGTCTCGCCGCCATCTACTCCTGCTACGAGGAGTTCATCAACAGGTGACGACGATGGTGGTGATGGTGGTGATGATGATGGTGGTGATGGTGGTGATGGTGGTGATGGTGGTGGTGATGATGGTGCTGATGGTGGTGATGATGGTGGTGATGGTGGTGATGGTGGTGGTGATGATGGTGGTGATGGTAGTGGTGATGGTGGTGGTGATGGTGGTGAAGGTGGTTGTGATGATGGTCAATCGTTTCAAAATCACTCGGTGCCTTGGCGTGTTCTGCAAAACAAAAATCCATCAGCAGTTACTGAAGAACTTCGTAGTTCTTCAGGGTCACCGTCAAAATAGATTTGAGTGAACGTGATGGACCTGACGATGATTGCAATGATGACGATGATCGCAATGACGACGATGATCGCAATGATGATGATGATTGCAATGATGATGATGATCGCAATGATGACGATGATCGCAATGATGATGATGATCACGATGATGACGATGATCGCATTGACGACGTGATCCAGATGACGATGATCACGATGACGATGATGATCGCAATGACGACGACGACGATGCCCTTTGCCGATTCCGTTATTTCCATTTTCTGGCACCACCACCACCCCCACACCCCCCCCCCCCCCCACACACACACCCCACACACACACCCCCCCCTCCCACACCCACACGCACCCATCCACGCAAACGCCGTCGCCAACCACGACGCCACCGCCGCCTTCCCCGTGCCTCCCAGCCGGGACAACTCACCGACGCTCAAGGAGATGTGGAGCGGCTGCCAGCAGAAGGTGGACTGGAGCTACCTCCTGCAGCAGAGGCTGTGGCAGAGCGGCCTCGACTCCTCCTCCCTCGACGAGGCGACCTACGACCCGCGGATCCGCACGTGCGTCCCCGCGACCTCCGACCCCGCCGCCGCCGCCCTCCACCACCGCCTCCACCGCCACCACCGCCTCCACCGCCACCACCACCACCACCGCCACCACCGCCACCACCGGGAAGGACGCGGATGCGGAGGCGGAGTCGCGCGACGGGCGGACGCTCCGTACGGCGGAGATCGAGATTCTGTTGGACGACGGAGGAGGAGGAGGAGGGGGAGGGGGGGACGGCGACGACGAGGACGACGGGACGCGGCGGAAGAGGAGGAGCGGCAGCGAGGACAGCCTCATGGCGGCGCCGCGCTGCGCCGAGCTGAGGATTGAGCTCGGGCCGCAGGCGGAGAGGGTGCTCTCGTGCTTCGTGGAGATCCTGCAGACCCTGTGAGGCATCGGGGGGGGGGGGGGGTCATCGTCGTGGTCATCGTGTGTCATCATTGTGGTCATCGTCGTGGTCATCATCGGTGGGGTCATCGTGGCGTCATCGTCGGTGGAGTCATCATCGTGGTCATCATCGTGGTCATCATCGGTGGGGTCATCATCATTAGCATCATCGGTGGGGTTATTGTGGTAGTCATCATCGTGGTCATCATCGTGGCGTCATCGTCGGTGGTGTCATGATCGTGGTCATCATCGGTGGGGTCATCGTCGTGGTCATCGTCATGGTGTCATCGTCAGTGGTGTCATCATCATCATCGTGGGTGGATGAACGTCATCATCATTTGTGTGATCATCACGGGTGATGTAAACTTGATCGTGTTCATCATCGTCGCCATCGTCGTCATGGATGGAGTGAGCAAAGTCATTGTCATTGGCTTCAATTGATGGTGCCAACATCATCATCATTGACATCATCGTCATCGCCATCGTAACCATGGACGGAGTCATTACCATCGGCATCACCGTTGTCTTCATCGTCATCGTCACCATGAATGTCAACATCATCATCATCATCGCTGTTGCCACGATGTTCACTTTGATAGGTCTTGTCATCATGGATGGTGTCATCATCATCATCATCTTCGTCATCATCTTCGACGTCAATCTCACCATGATTTCATAATCAGCACCATCATCATCACCATCATCATCTCTGTCATAGGTATCACCTTGATTGTTACCACCACCACCACTGTCATCATTATCATCGATGTCATTATCATTGCCATTTGTAAATTATTGTCATCATTGTCACCATCAACGCTGTCATCGTGATTACGATCACCACTCCTTATTTTTGCCAGCTTAATTTTCATCGTCGTCATCGTCATCATCATCATCATGGCTATCATGATTGTTATTGGCCATATTCACAGTTGTCATCCTCATCATCTGCGACCATAATAATTAATTAATTATTTGTCGAATGCTAATCGCACTTTGTCATCACCACAAACCTCCTCTTGTCTCCTCGCCAGCTCGGAATACGAGGACTGGCGGCCTGCACTGGCGAGCCTTCTTCAACCCATTCCCTTCCCCAAAGAGTGAGTGGCTCACCCATCATCGCGTTCGTCATTGTTTATTTCAAGAACAATCATTCCCACATTCTTGTATTCATTTCTTAACCCCCCCCCCCCCCCACTGAGCGACGTGAGCTCTTCCTCAGAAGCGACCATGGCTCAACGAAGCGGGCTTATCATTTTCTGTATTCTTGGTTCTTTCGGTAAAGTCACGTAGATAGAAAATAAAAATACTCAAATAAAATTTAAAATAAATTGCAAATAATGAAAGCAAAAAACCACGATAAAAAATTAAAATAGTAAAATAAAACTAAAAATAAATTGAAAATAATAAAAGCAACAAAAAAACCCCACGACGTTTCGATCGCAACACAAGCGGTTTTCATCAGGCTGCCGCTATAAATGTCCACGTGATATGATGGTAAGCCCACTTCGTTGAGCCATCACTTGTGGCCAGGTCGCATCTGCCAACAGAGCTACGTGGCTCAGTGGGGCCTCGCCTGCAAAAATAAAAATATATAGTGTCATTATTTAGTTTAGATGCGTCAAATCGGCACGCACGCAGCCCCGGCGAGGGCGGTGGTGAGGAGGCGTCGTCGCTTCTGCCGGCGAGCGTTCGTTTAACGCGCGCGTGTGAGCGATAGCATGCACACGCACGCACATGCACACGCACGCGCACACAAGCACGCACGCACACACGCGCACGTACACACACGCACGCACGTGCACACAAGCATGCACGCGCACACGCACGCGTTAAACTAGAGAGAGGGGGGAGATGGAGGAGAGGGAAGGAAGGAGTGTGATGGAGGAGGTGGTGATGGAGTGTGGAGTGTGGAGGAGAGAGGGGCTGGAGGATAGTGGAGGGAAGAGGGAGCGAGGATGTAGGAGAGAGGGGTGGATGAGAAGAGAGAGGGATGGAGCAATGGAATGGTGGTGGAGGGTGGAGGAGGAGGGAGAGATGGAGGATGGGGGATGGAGGGATGGGGGATGAAAGAGGCTGATTAGATGATGGAGGGTGGATAGAGAGAGAGAGAGAGAGACAGGTGGAGGGTGCAGGAAGGATGATGAGGAGAGGCTCTATCCGAGGGCGCTGGCTGTTTGTTTTCTGCTCACGTTGCTGCTTCTCCTCCTCTTGCCGGTCACCGTTTGTGTATTTATTAATCGTGTGTTCTCTCTCTCTCTCTCTCCACGCCCATGTCCCTTCCCCTCTCCCGGCCGTCGCTGCTGCTGCCGCTGCTGCTATTGTTGTTTTTGTTATTTACAGAGCACTCGCTCATGAAAAATTCACGAGGTGAGATGCTGCTACGTGCCGCGTACGCACTGTCACGGACACCGGCACGCGCGCGCACAGAGTCGCGTAATTCACAACGCAGATGCGCACGTGCACACGGAGGTCAGCGGCGTGCACACTCATACGTGTGTAGTATACACGCACGTGCAGAGGTCGCGCGCAGAAGGCAAAGATCCCCCGTACAGCCCTCAACAAGAATGTTGGGGCAAGTGCTGTTAGCGAGCACCCGTTAAGGCGAGCACACGGCACATCGTTGGGGGTGGGGGTGCGTGGACTGCGCGCGCGTTTCAAACGACAAAGTTCCCCCCATATAGCCTTGGCAGACTGTTGGGGCGAGCGCTTAACCATAATCAACGTTTTTGGGTTTAGATCGCGTTATTTATAAATGTGTCGTAACCCTCCACCACCCGACACGGCCAATCAGTAAAAAGTGTCACGTTGACAAAAGACAAATATTTCACTGCTTTAGCCCACCGGTGTGTTGAAGCGTGAAACCACAACATTTACAATTTGAGTACGACGTTTCGCTGGTAATTGCATCCAGCATCATCGGGCAACATAAATAACGCGATCTAAACCCAAAAACGTTGATTATGAATAATATTGGTCGCGAAAGCCGACGTGTTAAACGAGCGCTTAACGTTAGTGAGCACCTACGAAGGCCGCAACGGCACACGAGGGGGGGGGGGGGGGGTCGGAGTGCCAGCACCACTCCCGGCCGCCTTTGTCTCCCCGGCGCCGATTATTATGATGAACGCGCCGTCAACGTCGTCAGGGCAGCACGCCGCTACGAACCCGACGGCCCGGGTCCTACCCTCGCTCGTGGCCGACATCGGTGGCTAATGCGTGAGCCCTGGGGTCCCGGGCCTCCCCCCAGCGTCGAGTCGGCCTCAAGCGAGGGGATCACTTCAACCCGGAACGCGACGCGGCAGCGTTCCCCTCGCCCTCCACGATACATATATTATAGGGGGGTGCCATGGTGGTTAGGCGATGTTAACTACCTCGCCTGGTATACAGGAGGTCGTGGGTTCAATCCCGACCCTGACGCCTGCTGTGTATTTGGAGTATGCGGTGTCTCTCACTCTCTCATCATCATCACGGTGGCTAGGAGATGTTAGCTAACTCGCCTGGTACACAAGAGGTCGTGGATTCAATCCCGACCCTGACGCCTGCTGCTGTATATTTGGAGTTTGCTGTGTCTCTCACTCTCTCATCATCATCACGGTGGCTTGGAGATGTTAACTACCTCGCCTGGTATACAGGAGGTCGTGGATTCGATCCCGACCCCTGACGCCTGCTGCTGTATATTTGGAGCTTGAGGTGTCTCTTGCTCTCTCATCATCACCACGGTGGCTAGATGTTAACTACCTCGCCTGGTACACAAGAGGTCGTGGATTCAATCCCGACCCTGACGCCTGCTGCTGTATATTTGGAGTTTGCTGTGTCTCTCACTCTCTCATCATCACTCTCTCATCATTACGGTGGCTTGGAGATGTTAACTACCTCGCCTGGTACACAAGAGGTTGTGGATTCAATCCCGACCCTGACGCCTGCTGTGTATTTGGAGTTTGAGGTGTCTCTCGCTCTCATTATCATCACGGTGGCTAGGAGATGTTAACTACATTGCCTGGTACACAAGAGGTCCTGGATTGAATCCCGACCCTGACGCCTGCTGTGTATTTGGAGTTTGCTGGTGTCTCTCGCTCTCTCATCATCATCACGGTGGCTCGGAGATGTTAACTACCTCGCCTGGTATACAGGAGGTCGTGGGTTCAATCCCGACCCTGATGCCTGCTGCTGTATATTTGGAGTATGCGGTGTCTCTCGCTCTCTCATCATCATCACGGTGGATAGGTGATATTAACTCCATCACCTGGTGTGCAGGAGGTCGTGGATTCAATCCCGATCGTGACGCCTGCTGTGTATTTGGAGTTTGCATGTCTCTCTCTCCATGTTCGCGTGGATTTTTTTCCGGGTTCTCTGGGTTTTTCCTCCACATGTGGAATCGGCATCACGCGCTCAGAATGTTTGGCTGCCACATATTTCCACGCGACAAGCCCACTTCGTTGAGCTATCGTTTGTGGCCAGGTCGTTCTTGCACAAACAAGAGCTGCGTATAAAATAGTACATTTTATTACGGTGATACTTATCCGGTGCTGTGGGTAAACAATCAGCCACCCACTCGCCGCCTGCGCTATGCAGGCCTTAACCGCTGGCCTGCGAACGGGACTTGCTGTATGCGTGGGGCAATCCTTGTCGCTGTCTTTCTCTCTTCCTGCGTCGCTGAAGGGAGATGAAGTTCGTGATTCAGAAGTTCGCCAACGATCCCCGGAGGGAGGTGAGTTGCCGTAACGTTCTGACCCCGTGACCCCCCCAAACCGGACAGTCTGTGAAAAAATAAAGAGCTTCCTAGCTAATTCTAGATTTGAAGCTTTCGTGACTGCAAGGATTCATATTCTTAGGTTTTTTCCGGTAAAGTCACGTAGGTAAAAAAATAAAAGTAAAATTAAAATAAAATAAAAATCACGACGTTTCGGAGGCAACACAAGCTTCCGTCTTCAGGTGGAACCGTCACAGCACGATAGCTGTATCAAGTAAGATACAGCTATCAAGTAAGATACAGCTATCGTGCTGTAACAGTTCCACCTGAAGACGGAAGCTTGTGTTGCCTCCGAAAAGTCGTGATTTTTATTTTATTTTTATTTTACTTTATAAATTTTTATTTTTTACCTACATGACTTTACCGAAAAAACCTAAGAATAGACTTCCTAGCTCATCGGATTCCTCGAGTACGAATAAATATTCTTGGTCTGGTTCAGTGGCAGCACTCGGCGCAATCAGGGTCGACGTTCACGTGGTGTGGTGACAGTCACGACGATGAGAGTGAAGATGTTGATGATGATGATGGCGTGGTCACGAACGTATCGGCGATGTCGATTGTGACGACGACGATGATGACGATGATCGTATTGATATTGATGACAGCACGAGCGTATTGATGATTATAATCACAATTGTAATAATGATAATGGTGATATTATGACGATGATCATATTGATGATGATATGAGAGTATAATTTTGATGACGTGGATGATTACGGTGATGCTGATCATCACGATGGTGGCGATTATGGTGAATGATGATAATATTGATGGTGACAGTCATTATGATGCTGATGGTAATACTGGTCACGATGGCGATGGTGATGACGCTGACAGTGATCATAATTTTGGAGGTGGTGTGATGATGGTGATGATGGTGATGATGATGGTGATGATGGTGATGATGATGGTGATGATGATGGTGATGTTGGTGATGATGATGGTGGTGGTTATGGTGGTGGTTATGGTGGTGATGATGGTGGTGATGTTGGTGATGTTGGTGATGATGATGGTGATGATGATGGTGATGATGGTGATGATGATGATGGTGATGATGGTGATGATGATGGTGATGATGATGGTGATGATGATGGTGATGATGATGGTGAAGCTGATGGTGATGATGTTGTCCTTCCCTGCACCTCCGATTATCACGGTTGGCTACGTACGGTGCGAAAAAATTTCAACATGCGTACATGAATGATGATGATGACGATGCTGACGACAATGATCGTGAAGATGTGTGGAAGCATCTATTTGACTCTAATGCCCCCCCCCCACCCCACCTCTGAATGCACAGGTGCACTCGTGCCTCCTGGGGGTCAGAGCCAGCAAGGACGGGTGGTTCCAACTCTTCAGCCCGGGAGGGGTGGCTTGCGATGACGACGGCGAGCTGTTTGCCACGATGGTGAGCCAACTGTCAGTTTTGTCGTTGTTGTCGTTGTTGTTGTTGTTGTCGTTGTCGTTGTTGTTGTTGTGCCTCCGCCACCGCGCGCGACGCTCCCTTCACGCTGTGCACGGCGTCCGTCGCAAACGAGGCGTCGCGTCTCGAGGGGTTGCCCAGGTGAATTATTTTAATTAGAAAAATAATTAACCCGGCAGCTCCCGCACCCCCCTCCCCCTCCTCCTCCTCCTTCTTCTCTTGAACTCCCCAGTGGTACGCTACACGTGTCCTACAACCGACTTCTTCTTCTTGCGTACGGCTAATGATGTAGACGCAGAGAAACAGCGTCAATTTCACATTCAGGTGGTCAGGCCAGCAGATAACCGCGTCGGTCAGCGGGGTAGTGGCGTATCGCCATCAACTCCTTCGTGTTTGCGGACCGGGGCATTACTGCGTCGTTACCACGTTGCACTACGGTCTGTGTTCTGGATGACCACAGTCGTGCAATCACCACCACCACCACCACGACTACGCGAGTGTTTTTAATTTGACATTTGTGCATCGGGCATCACCCGCCATCGGCTGCCACCGTGTGTGCAACGGGCTGACACGCAGATTTCCGCTTGATTCTTTACGCGACAGAGCCCCCCGGTCGATGGACGTGCGCGATGGAAAGAGACAATTTTTCAGAATTATTACGAATCATTTTTCTGGACCACCTGGCGGGGGATATGCGCGCTTGTGTGTATTTATTTTATATATCGGAGGTGCGGCGAAGGAGAACAAACTTAACGGCTTTTTTGTTTAGTTTGTTTGTCAGTCATTCTCCACCCCGCTTGCGCACCTCAGATTAGCACGGTTGGTATGTACGCTGTCTCCCCGACAGACCTGGTCTTCACCTGATGACCAGGTCTTCACCTGATGACGGCTGCTTGCGTTGTGACCGAAACGTCGTGAGAATTATTTTATTATGTTTTATTTGATTATTTTTATTGTTTCCATTCTACGTGACTTTACCGAAAGAACCAAGAACAATCCATAGACTCAACACTGCCCATAGACTCAACACTGATCATAGACTAACACTACCCATAGACTCAATACTGCCCATAGACTCAACACTGCCCATTGACTCAACACAATCCATAGACTCAACACTACTCATAGACTCAACACTGCCCATAGACTCAACACAACCCATAGACTCAACACTCCCCATTGACTCAACACTGCCCATAGACTCAACACTGCCCATAGACTAAACACTGCCCACATGGAGAGAGATACTCATAGACTCAACACTCCCCATTGACTCAACACTGCCCATAGACTCAACACTACCCATAGACTCAACACTGCCCATAGACTCAACACTGCCCATAGACTAACACTCCCCATTGACTCAACACTGCCCATAGACTCAACACTACCCATAGACTCAACACTGCCCATTGACTCAACACTACCCATAGACTCAACACTGCCCATAGACTCAACACTACCCATAGACTCAACACTACCCATAGACTCAACACTACCCATAGACTCAACACTACCCATAGACTCAACACTACCCATAGACTCAACACAATCCATAGACTCAACACTGCCCTTAGACTCAACACTACCCATAGACTCAACACTACCCATAGACTCAACACTGCCCATAGACTCAACACTCCCCATTGACTCAACACTGCCCATAGACTCAACACTGCCCATAGACTAAACACTGCCCATAGACTCAACACTGCCCATAGACTCAACAGTGCCCATTGACTCAACACTGCCCATAGACTCAACACTGCCCATAGACTCAACACTGCCCATAGACTCAACACTGCCCATAGACTCAACACTGCCCATTGACTCAACACTGCCCATAGACTCAACACTGCCCATAGACTCAACACTGCCCATAGACTCAACACTGCCCATTGACTCAACACTGCCCATAGACTCAACACTGCCCATAGACTCAACACTGCCCATTGACTCAACACAACCCATATACTCAACACTACTCATTGACTCAACACTGCCCACATGGAGAGAGAGATACTCATAGTCTCAACACTGCACCATAGACTCAACACTGCACCATAGACTCAACACTCCCCATAGACTCAACACTGCCCATAGACTCAACACTCCCCATAGACTCAACACTGCCCATAGACTCAACACTGCACCTCCGATTTGCACGGTTGGCCACCTCCGTTGCAAAGGAACGTGGTGCCCATTCCTGGACGTGCAAACCTCCCACCCACCGCGTGTCTGGGGTCTTCATCCGTGTGGCCGAGAGTCACCTCCTGGCTGACCGCAGCACGCGACACTCCGTCACGCCCACAGCGCAGCTCCCGACAAACGGAATGGGAGAAAGCTGTCCCAAGAGAAACGAGTTTTCAATCCGAGATTCAACACGCACGACGCAGAGGTCGCAAACGGGTTTTGATTCCTTACCCGTACCCGGCCGCACCAGGGTCGCATACGGGTACCCGTACCCTTACCCGGCCGTACCCGTACCCTACCCGTACCCGGCCGGGAATCGGGTAGGGTACGGATATCGGGTACCTGATTGCAACCTCTGGGATGAAGCCATGTTGCAGGCGCGGGTGGGTTGATTCTAGGAACTTGAATTGTGAGAAGAGACAAGACGTTGGGAAATGAGTGACAAACAGTTACTCACCAGTGACTCACGGTCTACCCTTACCCGTACCCGGCCGCACCAGGGTCGCAAACGGGTAGCCGGGTATCGGGTAGGGTACGGGTACCCGGTTGCGACCTCTGGCGCGACATAAATTACGCTTCCTTAGAAGTGGAGCGGGGTGCCTCCCCGGGTGAGGCAATTGCAGCAGGGGCTGCGCCTTTGCCTATTTCTTTTTTTTACACCTCATTGGCAAAGCCGGCCCCCCACTCGCTCCCCACCCTCTGCGTTTGTGCGCTCGCAACGGCAGATTCCCACGAGGGACAGAGAGAGAGAGAGAGATCCGCTGCCATCGATTCACGCCTCTCGTCGTCGCCTTAAAGGTGGCGGCATGTACCTGTTGCCTCGCTAATTGCCGGCTATTTTCTGCATCGTCCCCCTTACCCCCCTCCCCCATTATACCCCACTACCCCCCTCCACCCCCACCCTCCACCCACCCAACCCCCACCCGTGACCTCCTCCCGGTTATTTGCATCCGAACTCTCTCTCTCCTCTCTTCTCGCGATCGGTGTTTTATAGATTTTTTTTTTTTACATTTTTGTTCAACCCGGGCGATGGCCCCCAACCGAGGCTAAAATCCGTGTTCCCGTCGTGGCCTTCGGAGAACTCGGATCTGAGACGGGGGCAGAGGTCGCACCGCTGGTGTCAAGAGATGCCGAGGTCCCCTTGGCTTATCTCTGGTCCGGCAACACCGGCGACGATTAATCTGAACCGGTCCTGGGCCTCCCCCGTCGGTAGACTCTCCCGCAAGCGAGTGCGTCAACATCGCCACCGGGGAGGCAAAGGCGTGCCGTGCGTGGTGCTGGCCACCGACCCCCGCCCCCAACTCTCTGCGTGCCGTGCCCGGAACACTTCACAGACAATGCTCGCGAACGGCACTTTGCCCCGACAGTCTGTTAAGGCTACACGGGAGGGATACCTTTGTCTTTGTACCGGCGTTGGTGACAGGTTCACAGCCTCATGGCGACCTGCTACCGGACCAAGCGCTTCCTAATGTCGCTCGCAAGCAACAAGCTGGGGCCTTGCATGCTCCTCGCCCTGAGGGGGAACTCCACCATGGTGGAGGTGAGCGTGGGGCAGGCGTGGAGACACACGGGGAGAGAGACGTGGAGAGCGAGACACGGGGAGACGTGGAGAGAGACCTGGCGAGAGACACGGGGAGAGACCTGGAGAGACACGGGGAGAGAGACACGGAGAGAGAGACACGGAGAGCGAGACATGGGGAGAGACGTGGAGAGAGATGCGGCGAGAGACACGGGGAGAGACACGTGGAGAGAGAGACGGGGAGAGAAACGTTTAGAGACGCAGGGAGAGAGACGCACAGAGATGCACAGAGACACTGAGAGAGACATGGGAAGAGACATAGGAAGAGACACGGAGAGAGAGAGACACACGGAGAGAGACATGGGAAGAGACAGAGGGACAGACACAGAGAGAGAGACACATGGAGAGAGAGATACGGAGAGCGAGACATGGGGAGAGACACGTGGAGAGAGATGCGGTGAGAGACACGTGGAGAGACACAGGTGCGTGTGTGTGTGTGTCATGGGGAGCAGTGGTATAGCGGTTAGCGTGCTGCGCTTCGAACCCGGCGACCCGAGTTGGATTCCCGTTCACGGCAAACACCAGTGACGATCATCTGAAACGGTCCTGGGCCTCCCCTAGGTCGACTCAGCCTCAAATTAGTACCTGGTTTGGTGTGTAAACATCGCCACTGGGGAGACAAAGGCGGCCGGGCGTGGTGAGGGCCATCCACCCCCTCGTGTGCCGTGCCGGCCTTCATAGGTGCTCGCTAGCAGCACTTGCCCCTCCAGTCTGTTAAGGCTACACGGGGAATCTTTGTCTTTGTGTGTCTGTGTTTAGCTATATGTGTGTGTACGTGTGTGCGTACATCACAGATCCTGTATCGAGTTACTCAGCTGTGTGTGTGCATGTGTGTGCGTGTACATGTGTGTGCATGTACGTGTACGTGTGTGTTCGTGTGTGTGCGTGTGTGTGCCTGCATGCGTGTGTGTGCGTGTATGCGGGCGTGCTTGTGCGGGCGTGCGCGTGCGTGTGTGTGCGTGTACATCTGTTTGCTTGTACATGTGTGTGTGCGTGTGCTTGTGTGTGCGTGCGTGTGCGTGCTTGTGTGTGCGCGCATGTGCGTGCGTGTGCGCGCGTGCGTGTGTGCGTGCGTGTGCGCGCGTGTGTGCGCGTGCGTGCGTGTGTGCGTGCGTGTGTGTGTGTGCGTGTGTGTGTGCGTGCGTGTGTGTGTGCGTGCGTGTGCGTGTCACAGATCCTGTGCCTCATGCTGGAGTACGCCGTGATCGAGGTTCGCGACTCCCAGCTGCAGATCATCTCGGCGCTGCAGAGCACGGAGGAGGGGCGGCGCGTCTACGACGAGCTGTGCGAGCGACAGCGCGAGCTACGAGAGCTGGTACCACCTACAGGCAGTGGCACACGCAGTGACACACACAGCGACACAGGCAGTGGCACAGTGACACAGTGACACAGTGAGTGACACAGTGACACAGGCAGTGGCACAGTGATACAGTGACACAGTGACACAGGCAGTGACACACACAGTGACACAGTGACACGGTGACACGGTGACACAGTGACACACACAGTGACACACACAGTGACACAGTGACACACACAGTGACACAGTGACACAGTGACACACAGTGACACACACAGTGACACACACAGTGACGCAGTGACACGGTGACACACACAGTGACACGGTGAACACACAGTGACACACACAGTGAGTGACACAGTGACACACACAGTGACATAGTCATACAGTGACACAGTGACACAGTGAGTGACACAGTGACACACAAAGTGACACACACAGTGACACAGTGACACACACAGTGACACGGTGACACAGTGACACACACAGTGACACACACAGTGACACAGGCAGTGACACACAGAGTGACATAGTGACACACACTGACACGGTGACACACACAGTGACACACACAGTGACACGGTGATACAGTGACACACACATAGCAACACAGTAACACAGACAGTGACACAGTGAGTGACACAGTAACACAGCGACACACACAGTGACACAGGGAGTGACACAGTGAGTGACACAGTGAGTGAGTGACACAGTGACACAGTGAGTGAGTGACACAGTGAGTGACACAGTGAGTGAGTGACACAGTGAGTGACACAGTGACACTGACTGTAACAGACTTGGGGCAAGTGCTGTTAGCGAGCAGCACCTATGAAGGCCGGCACGGCACACGAGGGGGTGGGTGGCCAACACCACGCCCGGCCGCCTTTGTCTCCCTCGTGGCGATGTTTACGCATCGCACCAGGTACTCATTTGAGGCTGAGTCGACCTAGGAGAGGCCCAGGACCGGTTCAGACAATCGTCACTGTTGTTGGCCTCGAGCGGGAATCGAACTCTCGTCGCTGGGATCGTAGCGCAGCGCGCTAACCGTTACCCTCTCGCTCCACACCGCAGACACACACACACATACGCAGACATACACAGACATCTACCCTCTATCACCTCCCTGCCTGCGTGAAGTCACCACCACGCTCGGTGACGTCACCACCGCCCTGTGACGTCACCACCCCGTTGTGACGTCACCACCCCGTTGTGACGTTGCCACTATGCTGCCCACTGACCCGTCTGCCCTTTGCTACCTGACCTCTGCAGCAGAAGAAAGGGGGCCCCATCAGACTGAGCCTGCCCACCAAGACCACGGTGAGGAACCACAGACTCAGAGACACACACACACACACACAGACACACACACAGCCTCACGCACACACGCAGACTCACACACACACACAGATTCACACACGCGCACAGACTCACACACACACACAGACACACACACACACACAGACACACACACACACTCACACACACACACAGACACACACACACACAGACACACACACACACACAAACTCACACACACACACAGACACACACACACACACAGACACACACACACACACAGACTCACACACAAACTCAGAGACTCACACACACACACAGACACACACACACACACAAACTCACACACACACACAGACACACACACACACACAGACACACACACACACAAACTCACACACACACACAGACACACACACACACACAGACACACACACAAACTCACACACACACATAGACACACACACAGAGACTCATACACACACAGAGACTCATACACACACACAGAGACACACAGACACACACACACAGAGACTCATACACACACACAGCCTCACACACACACAGACGCATACACACACAGCCTCACACACACAGAGACACACACACACAGCCTCACACACACATAGCCTCACACACACATAGACACACACACACAGCCTCACACACACAGAGACACACACACACATAGACACACACACAGAGAGACACACACACATAGACACACACACAGAGACACACACACACACAGACTCACACACAGAGATTCACACACACATCCTCACACACACAACAACAACAACCGCCATTCACCACTAAGTGGCGGTGATGTCACCACGACGCTTGTGCCAGGCTATGTGCACATTGAGGCCACGTGAAGTGTCTCAAGTACACAGAGAGACTCACACCCATATACACATTTAAAAAGCATGTTTAATAAAAAAAATATTAAAATAAAAACAAGAATTTAACCTCGGTTACCCTCATAACCCGCACCGAACACGGTGGTGACGTCACAGGGCGGTGGTGACGTCACCGAGCGTGGAGGTGACTTCACAGCATAGTGGCAACGTCACAACGGGGTGGTGACGTCACAGGGCAGTGGTGACGTCACCGAGCGCTGTGGTGACTTCACTGCATCGTGGCAACGTCACAACTGGGTGGTGACGTCACAGGGCAGTTGTGACGTCACCGAGCGCGGTGGTGACTTCGCTGCATAGTGGCAACGGCACAACGCGGTGGTGACGTCACAGGGTGGTGGTGACGTCACCGAGCGCGGTGGTGACTTCACTGCATAGTGGCAACGGCACAACGCGGTGGTGACGTCACAGGGCAAGTGGTGACGTCACAGGGCGGTGATGACGTCACCGAGCGCGGTGGTGATTTCACTGCATAGTGACAACGGCACAACGGGGTGGTGACGTCACAGGGCAAGTGGTGACGTCACAGGGCGGTGGTGACGTCACCAAGCGCTGTGGTGACTTCACAGCAAAGTGGCAACGGCACAACGCGGTGGTGACGTCACAGGGCGGTGGTGACGTCACAGGGCTCGCACGTGGTCAAGGAGCCCCGGGGAAAGTTGCTCAGCCAGCAGCTGGCTGAGCAACTTGAGGCATCGATAATTTTTTCACAGGAGCATGACGATTATTGTCATCGTCACCGTTGTGGCGGCGAATCGAAAACTTCCGAGCATCATCGGCTTGAGTGGCAGAGCGTTGAGGGGGAATCCCTGCGTGTGCGTGGTTTTTATTCCCTCCCTCCCCCCATCTCCCCCCATCTCCCCCCCCCATCTCCCCCCATCTCCCCCCATCTCCCCCCATCTCCCGCCATCTCCCCCCATCTCCCCCCGCCATCTCCCCCCATCTCCCCCCATCTCCCGCCATCTCCCCCCATCTCCCCCCGCCATCTCCCCTCATCTCCCCCCGCCATCTCCCCCCATCTCCCCCCATCTCCCTCCATCTCCCCCCATCTCCCCCCATCTCCCGCCATCTTCCCCCATCTCCCCCCATCTCCCCCCATCTCCCCCCATCTCCCCCCATCTCCCCCCATCTCCCCCCATCTCCCCCCATCTCCCCCCATCTCCCCCCATCTCCCCCCATCTCCCTCCATCTCCCCCCATCTCCCTCCATCTCCCCCCATCTCCCCCCATCTCCCCCCATCTCCCTCCATCTCCCACCATCTCCCTCCATCTCCCTCCATCTCCCCCCATCTCCCTCCATCTCCCCCCATCTCCCCCCATCTCCCCCCATCTCCCTCCATCTCCCCCCCCACATCTCCCCCCGTCGCCAGGACACGGACGTGGCGAAGCTGCTCAGCTCGGGCTCGTTTGGAAACCTGGAGAACCTGAGCCTGGCGTTCACGCGCGTCACCAGCGCCTGTGCCAAGTTCATCATCAAGCTGCCCGCACTCAAGCAGCTCAACCTGTGGTCCACTCAGGTGAGGCCCCCAACCCCGCCCCCTCTACCCCCCCCCACCCCGCCCCCCTCTACCCCCCCCCACCCCGCCCCCTCTAACCCCCCTACCCCCTGCCCCACCTTGTGGGTAATTTTTCAAGCGTGGTAAAATTGGACCGTGGTTGTGCGTGGTGCGTGCGTGTGTGTGTGTCGTGTCTGTGTGCGGCGTGTGCGGTGCGTGCTTGGTGCGGTGTGTGCGTGTGGTGCGGTGTGTGCGTGTGGTGCGTGCGTACGGTGTGGTGCGGTGTGGTGTGGTGTGTATGGTGTGCGGTTTGGTGTGTGCGTGTGCGTGTGGTGTGTGCGTGTGGTGTGTGCGTGTGCGTAGTTCGGCGACGCCGGGTTGATCCAGCTCTCGGAGCACCTCTCCTCACTGCAGGTGCTCAACCTGTGTGAGACTCCGGTGACGGACGACGGCCTCCTCTCGCTCACCGGTAAAACGCACGCACACGCACGTGCACGCACACACACGCACGTGCACGCACACACACGCACGTGCACGCACACACACGCACGTGCACGCACACACACGCGTGTCACGTGAGCGTGTCTCGTGGGGTGATGACGAGTGCGTTGCGTGTCTCCTCCTCCTCGTCGTCGTCGTCGCCGCCGCCACGTGGTCTGGCTCAGCGCTGGTGAACCTCTACAGCCTCAACCTGAACAGCACCAAGCTCTCGGCCGACACCTACGAAGTGCTCAAGGTGAGCGCGCACGCGCCCACCGTTCTGTCGTGTGTGTGTGTGTCAATCTCAGAGTACCTGGGTGCGGTGTAGTAAACATCGCCACTGGGGAGACAAAGGCGGCCGGGCGTGGTGCCAGCCTCCCCACCCCCTCCTGTGCCGTTCCAGCCTTCATAGGGTGCTACTCGCTAACAGCACTTGCCCCAACAGTCTGTTAAGGCTGTTACGGGGGGTGTGTGTATTTGTTTGTCTGTGTGCACCTACGGACGTGAGCATGGGGTGGGGAGCGGTTAGTGGTAGCGGTCGGTGCACTGCGCTACGGACCCCGCGACCCCAGTTCGATTCCCGCTCAAGGCCAACACCGGCGACGATTACCTGAATTGCTCCTGGGCCTCCCCTAGGTCGACTCGGTCACAAAAACGAGTCCCTGGTGCGGTGTGTTAAACGTCACCACTGGGGAGATGAAGGATGCCGGGCGTGGTGCTGGCCACCGCTTCGTGTGCTGTGCCGGCCTTCGTAGGTGCTCACTAACAGCACTTGCCCCTACAGTCTGTTAGGGCTATATGGGGGGGCTCTGCCTTTGTACATCTACACAATGCTGTTGCCGTTGTTGCTGCCGCCGCTACCACCCCCTAAACCACGTCTCCCTTCTGGCATCGTCTCGTCCGCAGGCCAAGCTGCCGAACCTGCAAGAGGTGGACATCCGTTACACGGACGCTTGGTGACAGTGGGCGAGCGGGACGGGGAGGGGGGGGGAGGGTGGTGGGGGCAGGGGGGGGATTAGTGAGAGATAGTTCCGATTGTGGCTTGATGCCACGTGACTCTTTATAAATGTAAAAAATAATATTTTTTTTCCCGTTAATTTTATATTTTTTATTTTTGCGTCACATTCCGCTGAACAACAAAAACCCTGTGAGTCTGGTGGCGGGAGTGGCGGCGGCAGCGGTGGTGGGCACAGTAGGGGAGAACAGCCGGTGCATCTGCCAGTCGTCATCTCAGTCAGTCAACCCACGTCCGTCCCGTGACCTCCCGCCGGCGAGGCCTTCCGCACCCAGCCTGGCACAAGCGCCGCGGTGACGTCACCGCCACTCAGTGGCCAATTGGCGGCTGCTGTTGGCGGTGGTGGTGGTTGTGGCGGGCGGTTTGGGCAAAGCAGTAACCGCAAAAACTCAGCACGTGTCGCGCGCCGTTGCTGCTGATGCTCGTGCTGCCATCAGCACCGCCAATGCCGACATCGTAAACCGTCTGCTGCTGATACCAACACTGTCATCAGCACTGCCACCAATGCCTCTATCGCTTCCACCACCACTACCACCAACATCTGTATCATTGCTGCTCGAAATATCATCATCATCTTCATCATCACTATTAAATATTTTAATCGCCACCACCAATGCGTTTAAACGGTATTATTGATCATCAGCACCACCAACACTACCATCAGCAGTGGTGAGCTGGTCGCCCGAGAAAAAGAGGCAGTGCTCAGTGTGGTCTCATTGGGCCCGTATTTATATCGCCTGGTTAAATAAAGGATGCGAAATCATCACCACCACCACTAATAGTGTCATTGGTCAGACTGATGCCAATGCCGTCTCACCAATGCTATCATCAGCAGTGACAGTGCTACTGTCATCTGTGCCGCCAACACTCTCATTGGCACTGTTGTCACACAGGACTGTCACTACCACCACCACCATCATCGTCGCCAACGTCATCTCTACCACCATCACGACAACAAGACAAAGATCTGTTGGGGCAAGCGCTGTTATCGAGCACTTGTGAAGGCCGGCACGGCACACGAGGGGGTGGGTGGCCAGCACCACGCCCGACCGCCTTTGTCTCCCCAGTGGCGATGTTTACACACCGCACCAGGTACTCGTTGGAGGCTGAGTCGACCTAGGAGAGGCCAAGGACCGGCTCAGAGAATTGTTACTGGTGTTGACCGCTCCCCACGCCGCCACCATCACCACCGCCACCATCAGCCTCCATCGTGAGCACTATCATCATTGTCACCATCGCCGCCACCGCCATCATCGCCACCAGCAATGGTGGAAATTCCCGGGACAATATCACGGCAGAGAGATGCAGGTTCACCACGCTCACGACCGAGATGAATTGGGGCATCGGAGGGCAAGGGAGAGTGGTGCGTTCGCGTGTGCGAAGAGCGTACACGCCACGCCGACGGGCACCGACGGGCACCGACGGGCACCGAACGACGGCCAAACAAGACGGCGCCGTCGGTATTCACCGCTGTGCCGCCGCTGTTGCTGTTGCGACTGCGCCGTGCAGGTTCGGCACGATGTCCGACGTTTCGGTCCGCGGTACCCCCCCCCCCCACCCCAAAAAAAATTAGGTCCGAGAGCTACGAATAGTGGTTAAGAATTTTGTGATTTGCAAAGAAAAATTCTCATCGTGACCTTAAATGGGGGGGTGGCTGTTCAATGTGTAGACCCCGACTCATTCATTACATCTGTCCCAGGGTGACTGTGGTCATCCGGCACACCGCATCCAGTTTACAGCTCACCGTTCGCCACGTGCCACGTGCGTGTCAGGTGTCACGTGACAGCCGGGACATTGCCCCCACCCGGCACGTCCCACGCCCTCGATACCACTCGCTGTGCCCCCTCGCGACTGCCACCTGTGACCAGTTCACCTTTGACCTGTTGAGATATTTCCGCACCCCGGCACATCGCGTCCAAGGTACCTCTCACTGTGGCTGGGGTTGGGGGGGGGGGGCTACCGGTCCCCCCCACGTGAACCACTACTCCGTTCCTGCGTTTGAGTGAACTTTGTTTATTTTTTATTTTTTCCAGGTCAGGTGGTGGCAGTGTGTACAAACCGCTGCACCACCGCTCCCGTTTTTTTCCTGTCGAAATTAAAACACTGAACAATTACACTGGTCAACACACTTTTGCTGGCATAAGGTATTCCAACGGTTTTAGGGCAATTTTGGGGTGCTGATTCTAAATCTGGCATCAGTTTTTGTCTATCACATCAGGTTTTTGAGATATCAAATATTGCATTTTCAATAAAAACTGCAGAAGAAAAATATTAAATAAATGTGGATATCTACATAAAATGATATTATAAACACACTATCCTAAAAATACAGCACCATATTTTAACACTGAAGCAGTCACTGACTCGCAACAACTTGCAATCATAATTGACAGAGTTAATTTCGGGTAAAATCAATGAAAATAGGGTATGCCGATAGCATAAAAATGACATCTGATAGAGCAAATCTGAGATCAGCTTTGGAATCAGCACCCTGAAATTAGTCTAGAACAGCTGCAAAAGTCCAGGCCAGAAAAAAAAAATGTTTTTTTTTTTTTTGTTGACCAGTGAAATTCTTAGTTGACCAGTTAAGGCCACATTGAGTTATTTGGCTCTAATCTCGATTTGAAGTTTTCGTGACGGCAGAGATCCATACTCTTTGGTTCTTTCGGTAAAGTCACGTGGGTATAAAATAAAATAAATTAAATCACGACGTGTCGATTGCAACACAAGCAATCATCATCAGGTGGGAAAACCACGGCAAGAATTGTTTTTTTATTTGGCTCTATTTCAGAAGCTGTCTGGCTGCCACGAATTATATCTCGACCAAGTGGGCTTATCATCAAGCGGAAATTGATAGCAGCCAACTACTCTTTAACGCGAAATGTTGAGTCTAATTTCGGAAGGCAAAAACCGCGGGACCTGGAGAAAAATCCACGCGATCACGGGGAGAGAGAGAGAGATATTCAAAACTCCACATATACAGCAGGCGTCAGGGTCGGGATCGAACCCACGACCTCTTGTATACCAGGCGAGGTAGTTAACATCTCACCACCATGGCACGTTAATCCACACATACCTTTCAAATACCTCTCGTGACACCAGGTGGCATAAAAGCAAACCTGGCACGATTGTTCATTCCTCTCCTGTGCTTTCTTCGCTGTATTTATTATTATTATATATATTAAATAAACAAACAAAAAAGTATAATGCGTAATAGTTAAGTCAAGGTTTTAGCTATCGTTAACATTTTTTTCAAGGCGACTTATAGAATTCGTAGCAGATATTGCCAAACGCAGGAAGTGCAATACCCGTGAACCACGCTCGTGGCCTGCATCGCGCATTTATCGACGGAACTGGCCCATATTTTATATCCGATACCCAACTTTTTTCCACTGGCACATCCGAGGCGAGCCAGCGGGGCTTGGCCCTCGCGGTTTCGGGCGGGGTGTTTTTTTTCTTTTTCCACTGGACATTTGCCAACCTGAGCCATAACCCAACCGCGATGCCACGCCAGCCTGACAAAGAAGACGTTCGATCAGCGCGGTTGAGTACGTAGGGCGCGAAAGAAGTTCAACGTACGTACGCGCGCAGCATACGTCTGAATCTGGCTTGGGGCCAAGCAGGGCCAGGTACGGGGTTAACAGCCCGTCGGCTGCGCGTTACTCGGTACGCCCGTGTGCGGACACAGCATTGCCGAGTTGCCCACACGCGTTTCCACTCGCTCGCTCCCCGCGTGCGGCATCGGCGGCACGGCTTCTGCGGTGGATATAAACGATGCCGGCCGCCATCCTGAGCCGCTGTCGGGCTGGCTCGGCTCGGTTGTGCGGTGGAAAAGACGAGAGGTGTGCCGGGCGTTAAGCGTGATGTCGAGACCGTGTCCCCAAAAGGCCTACCTTAGCTTTGTTCGAATTTGCGCACAGGTGCCCATCAAGGTGTCATTCGCCGTCAATGTGTTTCTCATTGGGACGCAGTTTGAGCTACGGTTGGTTGAAAGCGTGGTCCCCGCTTTTTTTTATTTATCTGAAAAAAATTGGACCGATGCACGGATGATAATGCGTTTTTTAAAATAATTTCGAAATTATGACGTCACGGGAAATGACGTCACCTATCAATGAAGAAAGGCCATTACGCGAAACGTCAGTTTTATATAAAAATGTGAAATTCCACACAGTTATTGACGAATGTACGCTTTACGAATTTTTTAACAACGCAGTTCCAACCGCTGTCTTAAGTAGAATTATTCAACGTCTGGATGATACCTTGTTGACACCCTATATCATTGCCGTGTGTGTGTTTCATCATCATCAACAGCAGCGGCCATGCCCAATCCACTGCTAGATGAAGGCTTCTCTCGCAAGCCACCATCACCGCCATCTCTCATCACGAGTGTGCCAATCCACCGGGCGCTGGCTCTCCACACTCACCACTCACCGCCCACTCACCAACTCACTCACCCACTCACCCACTCACCAACTCACTCACCGCCCACTCACCACCCACCCACTCACTCACCCACTCACCACCCACTCACTTACCGCCCATTCACCACCCACTCACTCCCCCACCCACCAACTCACTCACCGCCCACTCACCACCCACCCACTCAACACCCACCCACCCACCCACTCACCCACCCACTCACCGCCACCCACCCACTCACCCACCCACTCACTCACTTACCGCCCACTCACCACCCACTCACCCACCCACTCACCGCCACCCACCCACTCACCCACCCACTCACCACCCGCTCACTCACCCACCCACCAACTCACCGCCCACTCACCACCCACTCACCACCCACTCACCCACCCACTCACCGCCCACTCACCGCCCACTCACCACCCACTCATTCATCAACCCACCCACTCACTCACCCACTCACCCACTCACTCACCGCACGCCCCACTCACTCACCGCCCACCCACTCGCCACCCACCCACTCGCCACCCACCCACCCACCCACTCGCCACCCACCCACCCACCCACTCGCCACCCACCCACTGGCCACCCACTCACTCACCCACTCACCCACTCACTCACCGCCCACTCACTCACCGCCCACCCACTCGCCACCCACCCACTCGCCACCCACCCACCCACTCGCCTACCCACTCACCCACCCACCCACTCACCACCCACCCACTCACTCACCAGCCACCCACCCACTCACTCACCCACTCACTCACCCACCCACTCACCCACCCACTCACTCACTCACCCACCCACTCACCGCGCACTCACACACGAGAGCCGATTCCATTGTCGCTCCATCTCCACGACTCACGTGCCCTGCACTCCCCGGTTCCTCACGACCGGAGACCATCTCGGACCCCCTCCCGGTGCCAACTCGTGTAGTAACCGTGACTTTGCGAACGATGGTTGATGGTGTTAACGAGTGTGATGATGATGCCGACGACGATGATGATGATGACGATTTCGACGATGATGATCGTGGTCTTTAATGGGAACGCTTAAATGCAGGTCAGACATCATCGGGGCGAGTTCTGTTTACCTCAGAGGCATTTCCGCGCCGTGCTAATCCCCATTAGTCGAAGATAAACAACAACCATTTACGGAAATTCGTTACGACCGGATTGTCCGTCAACATTCTGAGGAGAATTATTTTGTATTTATTGAAAGAAATTGTTAAATTGTCTTGGCTCTCCCCCCCCCCCTCCCTCCCTTTTAGAAGTGTAATTATTGATACTGTTGTTTTCGATTAATTACACGTACGTAGAAGTTTATCAGTTAATCTCAACATACCAAACAAAATTCCAGTGACGTCATATAGGGGAATTTGTACAAATTTTACGGCAAAAAAGCAATCGCTATATTTCAACTCATTCGACCTTAAGCTTTTTAAAAAAATAAAACGTGTTTATAAAAAAAAGTCCCAGATTTCAGATATGATAAAAAAACTATATACAAAAAAATTGTGTTCAATTAAAAAAAACAAATCCCAACAACTCACATGCACTTACGATAATAAAAAAAACATTTTTTTTTTACCCTCGTAAATGTATAACTTTGTCGCTCCACTGCTGGATGAAAGCCTTTCTTACCCACACGTCCGTGTCTGTCAGGGCCCAGGGGAGGGAGGGGAGGAGTGGTGTGTGGGATTATTCGACCATACTTCACCACTGCGGTCAGCGTGGGTTGTCCAGATGTCGCTCGCCACTGATGTTAGCCGTGACCTCTGTGCCACGGGCCCCACGGCCGCATATTAACAAGGGGCCTTTACAGAGCCCCCTCTCCCCCAATTAGCCCAGTGTGCGTCACGCATGCTCCTCGCGTAAACAGCGACAAAGGAAGTTTATTCGGTGTTCCCGTACATTTCGTCGTGACGAGTCTCTCTTTTTTTGTTGTTGTTTAAACTTTCTTGAAAGGCAAAAAAGAAAATCTCATTTTTATTTTTTATATTTTGATACTAGCAACAACAACAACAATCCCGTAGATAATAGCTGCTCGAACCGAGCTATGGGTGTTCTCATTCTTGCAATTGTTCCCTATAACTTGTTCGCCTTCTGGAGTCGTTCTCTGGTCTGACACTGGTGGTTGAGACGAGGCGAGAACGAAGGCTGCTGTCTCTCCGTTGTAGGCCAATCGGTTTCAAAAGAACGAGCGTAACAATATTTTTCTTATTCTTGATTTAAAGCTTTCGTGACTGCAGGGATTCATCTTCTTGGTTCTTTCGTTAAAGTCACGTAGAAGGGAAATAATAAAATAATAAAAATAAAACAGAATAAAATAATTCTCACGACGTTTCGGCCACAACGCAAGCAGCCGTTCTCAGGTGAAGAACAGGTCTGCATTTCCCATAAATATGCTAAATTCCTCTTGATATGCAAATTCCTTTGTCAAGGCGCCCCCTCCCCCTCCAACCCAGCTTAAATATACGCTGCCAAGCTTGGTGGTGTTCATTCAGACGCTGTCTTTCCGACAGACCTGGTCTTCACCTGAGGACGGCTGCTTGCGTTGTGGCCTAAACGTCGTGAGAATAATTTAATTATGTTTCATTTTTATTATTTTATTATTTCCCTTCTACGTGACTTTACCGAAAGAACCAAGAAGAAGAGGGGCACGTTTGTCTGCGTGTTTTGCCACAAATACCTGTGTGGGCAATGCAGACTTGATTCCCTGCAACAACAACAAAAAAAGGTTTGAACATTTTAACACGACCACCTGTTTTAATTGCCAAAAAGGGTAACAAACCCCCCCCCCCCCCATTTATTCTTCCTAGTTAAGTATTTTTTTTTATTTTTCATACGGCCGAGTCGGTGCACGTCAAACACCGAGAAGTCTGGGTTCCAATCCGGTTTCAGCTCTCGCGTGAGTATCCGAGCCTGTCTGTGGACGTCTCTGTGTTGCGTGGATTCTCTGCTACTCTGCCTTCGCATCTCTCTCTCCCTGTCAACCCACGCCTCGGATGCCTACAGGGGAGCCGTGTGCTTCGTGGGGGGTGCGGCGGCTGCATTGGCCATACTTCACCTCGCTGGTCTGTGCGGGTCAGAGGTCGCAAACGGGTTTTGATTTCTTACCCGTACCCGGCCGCACCAGGGTCGCAAATGGGTACCCGTACCCGTACCCGGCCGGGTACAGGTAGCCGTATCCTACCCGTAACCGTACCCTACCCGAAATGAGTGACAAACGGTTACTCACCAGTGACTCACGGCCTACCCGTACCCGTACCCGGCCGCACCAGGGTCGCAAGCGGCTACCCGTACCCGGCTGGGTACGGGTAGCCGGGTATCGGGTAGGGTACGGGTATCGGGTACCCGGTTGCGACCTCTGGTGCGGGTTGGTGAAGTTCGCGGTGTGGGTGTGCGGCGCGGGGGTTGGTGGGGGGGGAGTCGGTTCACTTTGCCACTGTTGTTGACCTTGCACGGGAATCGAACTCGGGTTCCCGGGGTTCGAAGCGCGGAGGTTTGCTGCGTCCGTCCACTCTTTGGTAACGGATTTAAAACTATTAATTTTTTGTGTTGTCTTAAAAAGTCACCGCATTCATCACGAAGACTGCCTTACTACAACAGACAGATCTAGACCGTAAGGCTGACGTTTCAGGATATGACCCTTCTTCAAGAGCGCAGAGAGACTGACTTCGTAGTCTTGAGACGGCACTTTGCACTGGGGGGGTGGGGGAGTGAGGGCTGAAGAAACCGGAACGCATCAAGAAAGTCAACAAATTGGAACAATTGTTGTTGTGTGTCAATGGACGTGCGATCAGTTGCCCTAATTGTACACCGTGAGCATACAACTGCACCTGACTCTGCTTTTGTGCAACCGCCGAGTCGCCAATGGAAACCTCTTGCCTTTAACCCCCTCTCCACCCGTCTATGCGGCACGCGACGAAGAGTCTGTTCGGAGCAGTGTGCCCGTCCCGTTGTATTAGTTAATAGCCCCGCGGAAGTGGATATAGCAGAGCTACCACTGAGATCCGTGCTTCTTCAAGTGACCTCTGGGCCACACACAGACTGGTTCGCGGAAGCGGATATAGCAGATCTACCACTGAGATCCGTGCTTCTTTAAGTGACCTCTGGGCCACGCACAGACTGGTTCGCGGAAGCGGATATAGCAGATCTACCACTGAGATCCGTGCTTCTTTAAGTGACCTCTGGGCCACGCACAGACTGGTTCACGGAAGCGGATATAGCAGATCTACCACTGAGATCCGTGCTTCTTTAAGTGACCTCTGGGCCACGCACAGACTGGTTCACGGAAGCGGATATAGCAGATCTACCACTGAGATCCACGCTTCTTCAAGTGAACTCTGGGCCACGCAGAGACCGGTCCGCGGAAGCGGATATCGCAGAGCTACTAATGAAAGCCATTCTGCAAGAGACCTCTGCCCCACACACATTAGCGGGTCGCACTTTCCCGCCCCGCTCTGCATATGAGAGAAATGTCCATCGCATGGCAGTTAACCCAATGTTTTAATTTTCAGAGTTGGAATTTTGCCCGCTTAAGTGCAGAACCACATTTTTAAGTGATGTTTTTTTTGTGTGTGCAGTCATTGGTGACCGGGCAGAGATAATCAACCTCCACTTCACTTTTAACCCGGTTTAATTACAACTATGTTAGTCTATGGGGCTATATGCGAGTCTATGGGTCTCTATGCGCGTCTGTGGGTCTCTGTGTGAATCTATGGGTCTCTGTGGGTTTATGGATATCTATGCGAGTCTATGGGTCTCTCTGTGGGTTTATGGGTTTCTATGCGAGTTTATGGGTCCATGTGAGTTTATGGGTCTCAATGCGAGTCTGTGGGTCTCTGTGCGAGTCTATGGGTCTCTATGCGAGTCTATGGGTCTCTCTGTGAGTCTGTGCTTCTGTTATTGGTGACCGGCTTGAAACTATCAACCTACTACTGCACTTGAGAACCCGTGTTAATCACGGGCTGTGGCTGTAACCTCCCGGTTGGCTACGTACGGAGCGAAAGAAGTCCAACGTATGGTACATACATTACCTGGATTCGAACCCAGGTGTTCAGCGGTGCCAGCGCTCCGTGTCTGAGCCACCCGGTCTCTCTCCTTGCTGTTTATTCTGTGATAATCGCACCGTTGTTGTTTTTATTGCTACAGCTGGGGAGGTGGGGGGGGTCTGAGCGAGCAGCTGTTGTACGGTTGCATAAAATGACTTGGGGTGGAATTTC